TAACTCCAGTTCCACAGGATCCAACACCTTCTGCTGACCTCTTTAGGCACTGTATGCATATGGGGCACTTAACATACATGCAGTCTAAAACTCATACACCTAAATTAAAATGATAAATAAATATTGAGTGTGTGTGTGGTGAATAGGATGTGGTAACACACGCTTGTGACCCCAGCACTTTGTAGGTGGAAGCAGAAGGATCAGGAGTCAAGGTCATCTTCTACTGGATAGTGAGTTTAAGGCCAGCCTGAGCTACAGGAGGTCCTACTACCACCCCCCAAAAAGTATTAAAATATGAAAATTATATAGCAAGTGTTGTAGGAGATAATGCCAAGGCTCCTCTTTGCTTCTGTCAGGACACTGAAATCAATGGACTTTACATCCCTCTCCCCACAGAAGGCACAAAATGAGTTCCCATTGCCTGGCGCTCTACACTCTTCACAAGAGAATGTTTTCAAAGTGTGTTGATGACATTTCTATTACATTAATATCAATCTCTCCATGATACAGGTAAAGAAACTGAAGTTAAAAAAAAAAAAAAGACATGATTTATCCAGGTTCACCAGACTTGGCAGCAGCTGAGTAAGAACTGAAACCCACTTCCATCTGGCATGTACACCCCAGGCCATTTTGATCGTACCCAGTTGGTTTAAGGCTTTCTACACCCAGAATCTCAGAGACAGAATCCGTTCTCAGTGTGAGGAAGTATACTACCACATACACATATAGACTCCCCTGAGGCCCGAAACCGGCTCCCCAAGGCTCATGGGCTGCAAGGCCATCAGAGCTGGGTGGGGCATATGAGAGTAAGGTGGCTGTCACAGCTGCCCTTAGGCAACCTGGATGTCCCAGGCACAAAGCTGCCTGGCCAGCTGCCCTAGCAGATGGGTGCTAGAACCAGGCTGCCTGCCAAGACCCAACCTCCATGTCCAAACCAGCCTGGACATCAAGTTCCATTTTGGCCTCTGTCTGACCTGGCCCTGGTGGCTGGCAGTGCCTGTAGACCCAAAAGGCCGTGGTGACAGCCGCTATCTCTCTTCCAGCAGCAAGCATCTCCCCTGATGTGGCCATATGGCCCCATATGCTCCCTGACAGCTGGACTACCAAAGCAACTGCCTGAGGATGTCCTCTTTAGAGCCCCAGAGGCCCTCACCACCCCACCCACCTCTGCCCAGCAGGCCCCAGGAATCGCCAGGAAAATGCTAGGCTGGAATGCTGTACCCCCAACTTCATGCCCTATGCCAGTCATGGCCCCTCTGGGGCTTGATCTCTTTATCTATCTAACAGCAATGCTGACCTCTAACCCCATCCCTTTGTATCCCACTTCCAAGGTTATAGATCACCCAAACTCACTCCAGTTATCCAGGGAGACAATCTTCCCCATTGTCAAGATATAGAGAGACACTGAGGCCCAAGGGCTGGCTCAGTGGCTTACTCAGAGGCACATAATACTGGGAACTACATCTGTGACTTGGGGCACCGGCCATTTCTACATGTCTCATAGGTGATGCTGGAGCTAACCTGAGCCCTAGGCCAACTCTTGTGACCCACTCATGTCTCCACTCGGAAAGAATCTGTCTTTGATCACTTGCCCTTCACAGGAAGATACACCAGGTGCTGCCCCTGCTGCTGCCCCTGAGCCTGGACTCCCTCACAGCCTCAGGACTACCTCTCTGGCTAAGCAAGGCTCTTCATCACCACCAGCAGACATGGGTTTAAATTGCAAATCTAATTTTGTCCCTTAAGAATTTTATCTCTGACCCCTGTATCCGGCATCAACACATGCTCCTTCTCTGGGCACTCAGACTCTCCTCACGTTGTCCTGCTTATTGCCTGTCATTCTCCTGTGTGAGCTACTCCATAGCAAACACGCTCTACCCACACCGGGTGCTTCCCACCTCCTTGCCGTTGCTAATGCTGGGCCATCTCCTGGAAAGCCCTCACCCACATCCACATTCTCCAGTCACTCATTGATTCAACAAAGATTTATGGAGCATCCACCACGTGCCAGAAACATTTCAGCAGGCCCGAATACCTCCTGGCCCTTCCATGCCCTCTGAACTGCCCCTTCTCGTCACCCAACCTGCGCTTATGGACTTGCTGGGCCCTCTCTGCTCAGACCCAGGTTTGTGGGTCCAAGCCTGGTTCCCCTTCACAGCTCGTCCATGGAGGGACAGCATTATCATCAGCATGCACCCAAGTTCCAAACCAGATGTCTCAGATGTACAGTGAGCCCTAAGTGCAGGATTCCAGGCAGTGGAGAGGAAGGACTAAGGTGTGGTTTGGGGGGATAGGTATTTAGCCCTGAGAAATTATGAAAAAGATGTACACTGACCAAAGTGACCCTCTACCCCTAAAGGAGGTCTAAGTGGCCAGAGACTTTTGCCAACAAGTCACCCCATGATCCAGTCTACCCAGCAACTTCCTTAGGTAGCTAATTTGAATGTAACAATTTTACAATTTAAACTCCAGACAAAATGGAGTGAGGGGTGTCAGGCCCTGGCTAGCAAGAGAATCTGGGGTCCACATTCCTGAGGTTGGAGTGGGAATGGCTATCTTCCTAAGGGGACAGTCAGTGGTCCTCAGGAGGATTCTTATCCCAGCAGCACAGATAAAGAGCCAAGGAGGTGAATTGCCCTTTCTCCAGCTTAGGAAGACACAGGGAGCTCATCTGGCTAAAACCAGCTGGAAGCATGGAGCAGAGCCACCTCTAGAACAGAAGAACAGGGCAGAGGTTCAAACAGGCCTGGATGGCAGAAGTTGGGCCATGCCAGACATTTGGCCATTCTCTAGTCACCTGGAACATTGGTCCACACCCAAGAAACAAAAATCGAAGGCTCAATGATTGAAAACTTGCCTCACATGGATGCCCTCAGTTGGTTTTCAGCCCTTCAGAATAAAACAAAGGTCCCATTAGGGAGACACAGAGGTAGAGGGAGCATGGTTGGAAGAGAACAGAAAGGCTGTGGTTGAGAACGTCAAGTCAGCAGGAGTTGGAGAATCAGCCAGAGCCAGCACAGGAGAAAGAAGGAGAGGCAGAGAGGCTGCCTGGGTGGGAAAGCCAAGAGAAGCTGAGGGAGCTATGGCAGCATCCATCCTGCAGGTACAACCACCACACCCAAGGTGAGGCCCAGTCACCCCTGGGCCTCACCTGCACCTCCAAAGGCCTGAATGGACCTGAGGAGTCAGAGATCTGCAGGCTCTTCTGACCTCTTGTGTTTGAGCTGGGCCCCCTGGGCAGGAAAGGGCCCAGAGGCCATTGGGATCCCTTCCTTCCCCTAAGGATACTTTTAGCTCTCTACAGCAAAATTACTTGCTAAAAGGTGAACTCTTTGGCCCAGGGGAGCCCACACAGAATGGACATTGCCAAGGCTCAGCCTAGCTCTGATCCTGGAAAAATACTGGCATGCCAGAGCTGTGCTGAGTATAGCAAGCAGTCCAGGCTACAAACCATCACAGAGCACAGACAGGATCTGGCCCCAAATCTTGGCAGCGTAAGTTTAACCAGACTGGAGCAAGAGGTCCCATAGACCAAGTCAGAGAGATAAAGTGCCTTAGCTAAACTACTTCAGGCTGAGTAGCTGTCCCATCCAGGAAAGACGTTGGTAACTAACAGCAAAGAGCTATACTGAGATGACTCCAGCAACAGGCCTCTGGAGTCCTGGCTCCTGGGCAATAAAGTCCAATCATCCTGCCTTTCCCTTCCTGCTTCCCCAGGACCAGGATCAGAGCATCCCATCAGAGAGCCTCTTAGCTCAGTTTCTGCTTCAGTACCCTCCTCTGTGAACAGAAAGCCTCCCTGAGGTGACTGAGAGACTCCAGGGAGATAATGGAGGTGGAAGGAAGCGTTAATCTGAAAGCTAGTCACAAGTAGAGATTGCCTTCCTGGAAAATCTACCTAGATACTGGCTAGTCCAGCCACCATGCCACTCCAAGCAGCAACCAAGCAAAGATCAAGGCTTCTAAGCCCAAAGGCTTGTGCTTTGAATGCCAGGAAGAAAATGTATACGGGCTCCATCTGCACGAAAGAGAACTGGAAGGATTCAAGATCAATCAGCATCCAAAAGTTGCTTCCTGGAAGAGGAGGAACCTGTGCTGAGCTAAAGAGAGTAGGAGAAGGTTCCCTCAAGCAGCCAGTACAGGACCAGCAGAGACTCACAGGGAAGGGGATACATCGAGTAAGAGAGGCTGACATACATTGCTCTAAGCTGGGATGGGGGATGCCAGGCTAGTTGGCCTGGGTAGCCCCTCCTATCTATCCTCAGCCCCTTGAGAACTGGGCATCTAGTTCCTCAATGGCTCAACTCAGACACAATAGTTTGTATTGGCAGGTAGTTCCTTTCTTTGAGCTGCCCACTGAGCAAGGGACACACTCGCGGTCACACATCTGCATGCTCCCCACTCCCCCCACCGTCATGCTAGCTGCAGACATTGCTTGGCCCTTGTGGAGCTGTAATACGCAGTCCCGCCTGACCCTGGCAGGGTCACGGGAATCTGGTCCGGTAACAACTCCAGTGGCACTGTTGGGCTCGATGGGCGTCCCAGGAAGCCCATGGCTGACCTGATGGGATGTGAGGAAGGCACCCCTCGACCCACCAGAGGGGTCCAACCAGAAACCCCACCCCACTCTCCCTCGTGTTTTCTCCTCGTGAAAGAAAAGCCAAAGTTGAGCCATTAAAGCGCCTCCACCCACACTGCCTCCAGGCCCGCCACGCCCGGGATGCTCCGCAAAGTTGCTCCAAGCCTGGGTGATTCCTCTCAGGTGAGGGTTTGACGGAGCTGCGCAGCAGGCGAGGAGCGCGGTCACGCCAAGGGGTACCGAGCGTGCACGCCCGTCACGGACGCGCATTCGACACCCCACCCCCACCGCTGCCCCCGAGGTTCCAGCCCAATCAGAGGCTGCGCACGCTGCGCTGCCGGCGGGCTGACACCCCAGCTCCCCCTCCTGCACCCCTACGGCCCCAGCCCAGCCAGCAGCATCCCGACCCGGCCACACTCACCATCGGAGCGCGCCGTCCCCGCGCGGCTCTGCTCTGGGCCGGCATCACCCGGCTAGCCTCCGATCCCTGCTCCAGCTTGGGTTCCCGCTCTGCAGGGCTCGGCTCCGAGATGGTAGTAGCAGCAACGAGCGAAGCAGGAAGGGCGTGTGTGCGTGTGTGTGTGTGCGTGTGTGTGCGTGTGCGTATGTATGAGAGAGAGTATGTATGTGTGAGTGTGTGTACACGGGAGAGCACGCACAGTGTGTGCGCGGGAGGGCCCCGCGCTCCCCTGCACACCCGATTCCTGCCTCCTGCTCTCCACGCTGCGATGCCAGCAGAATCCCTAAAGCGCGCTCCCACCCGCCTGTGCGCTCACACTCGCGCACACACGCGCACACTTGGACGCGCACACACCCCCGCTGCCGCACACCCGGCTCTGCACTCCGGGTTCTCGCCCTCCCGGGGCGCTCATCGAGGCCCCCGGCTGCCCCAGCGTCCTCACCGCGCGACCCCTCCTGGGTCGACCGCGCCTCACGTACCCCGCCACTCCCAGAGGCCACCCCGCGGGCGTCCCTGCTCCTCCGTTATGCTCTGCCCCACCGTGGCCGAGCTTGTAACCTCAGTCGGGCCCCACGGCCGGGTTCCTGCAGTTCCCCCCTCACCCCTGCCCCTGCGTGTGCTCTTGCTCCTTTCTTCCTGCTCTCTGTCCCCCACCAGTCCCCGACCGGTCCCCGGCCTCTCCCGCTGTCTCTTCGTCTGCCTCGCCGCCGCCCTTTTCCGCGCCCACCTCCCCACGGCCCTGCGCTGCCTCTCACATTCTCCGCATCACAGCGGGTACCGCCTGCCGCTAGCTGAACCCCAGCTACCGGCACGCAGTGGGCGGCGAGGGTCCCCGCTGTCCCTCCGCTCTTGGCCGGAGCCGGGCTGATGGCGACGTCCCGCGCTAGCCTCGGCTGCGACTCACAGAGCTCATCTCGCTGGGACTTAAAGGCATAGCGCACACGGCTCGACCTGCCCCACCCGGGGCGCGGAGAAGAGCGGCCTCGCAGTGCGGGAGCAAGCCCGAGCCGTGGTGCAGCTTGGGCTGTGCAGAAGGCGCCCCGTCCGCCGAGCTTGAGTCCAGCCCTCCGGGGCTGGAGGTGAGTCAAGGAGAAGGACGATAGAGAGCCGCCCAGGCCGCGCCATGCAGGGGGCGCTCAGCGATTGTCGGCTCCATCTGAGGGCCAACTAGGGACTGGGGGCAGTGCAGGCCGGACCTCCAGGAATCTAAGACCCCGGAGGAAGGATTAGGAAGATAGGTGTCCTGACATTAACCCATCCCGGGGTGAAGACACCTGTCAAGCAGGGAGAGACAGAGCTTCTGGCCCAAGGTGGCCTCCCCCTCTTAACTATGTGACCTTGGGCAGATGCCTACACTTCTCTGCCCCTCAGTTTACCTAGGAAAGACACAGGCTTTCATCATCTCTAGGGCCATACCAGCTCTGGTATGTTAGCTGTTCTGAGGACGTTGGGGTCCTGGAGACACAAAGCAGACCTTCCACACCCAAATCAGACCTCTCGCTTATGTGTGTAATCACTCTAGTCCCTTCAGGTCCTGGTTGCCCCCCATTTGTCCTGACTCTTCTCCCATCTCATCAGACAAACGGGGGAAAAGGCAAAACTGAGCAGAACAGGAACCCCCTGGGTACAGCACTCTACAAAACAGCGTCTCCCTGGACTTTCATGTTTGTGGCTCCTGCCCCCATCTTGCGCTAGGTACAGGAGTATTAGTGTCCGGTTGACCGAGGCATCAATCAGAAAATGAGGAAGCAGGTGGTGTAAGGAAGTTGTTGGAATGCAGGGGAGGCTAGACAGCTTCCTGGAGGAGGTGATGGTGGACCCATTTAGTAGAGCATGAGCAGGAGGTGGCCAGGCAGGAAGGGAAGGAATGGGAATCTCATTCAGAAAGAAGCATGCACCAAGACCAGGAAGTGAGGAATAAGGAATGGCAGGGTGTATTTTTGAGAAACCTGGAATTGAGTTTCAGCTTGATTCTGGGGCAGCATCAAGGCTACAACTTGGCAGATCTAGGTAGGAGCCCTATCCTCACCTCCCAGCCCAGGAGGCCTCTTCTCTCTTTTTCTCTTGCCTAAGCCCTGCCTGTCCAACCTCGGGTGCCATACCAGCAGCCTAATGAAGCACAGCCTCCCCCTGCTGACCGGAGCTGGAAGTAGAAGAAGCCTCGGCTGGGCTGGGCCAGGATGCCAACCGGAAGGGCCAAACTCAAGCTCATCATCAGGGAGTCATCCTACAATTAGGCGATGATAGCGCCCACCTTTAATACCAGCACTGTGGGAGGCAGAAGCAGGCAGATCTGAGTTTGAGGCCAGTCTGGTCTACAGAGCGAGTTCAGGACAGCCAGGACTGTACAGAGAAACCACAAAACAAAAACAAAAGAGCTAAGGAGAGGACCGCAGAAGTAGCTCAAGTCGCAGTGGCATTTAGCATCTGTCCTTTTCCTTTCAGGCCCCTAAGCCTGGCTCTGTGGCCCATCCCAAAGTCCCTTCCTGCATCCATTTTTCTCCTTCCCTGGCCACTTTCCCTCTTCCTTCCCATCAGACTTCCCAGAGCCTCCAGGGAGATGAGCTCATGGCTGTTGCTGCTCTGGCTCCACACACCTCCTCAGGAGTCACCCAGGGCATCCAGGTGGCCCTAGGGAAGCAAACAGAGACAAACAGCCATTCCCCGGAGGCCCTGAAGTCCAAGCAGAGAAGCAACTGCAGTTTGTGTTCCCATCCATTTCTCCTACTTTTCCTGCCCTGGAAGCTACGACTGTTAAGTACAAGCTTAGGAATCAACACCTCCTGATTTGCGATGCAACCCCCACAGCTAGCACACCTTCTTTACCTTCAACTTCCTCCCAAAATGTGGGAACAAGGAGGCCCCTCGGGGGTGAGGCACCTTAGTGGGGGTGAGGCACCTAAGTCTAGTTCATTTATTCTTCCTTGGTATGTCCGAGTCTAGCCTTGTTCTCCCCCTCTTCCAGGAGTTCTACATAAAGGAAGCAGGTGTGGAGGCTAAAGGCTAGCTATTCCAGAGTTGAGCAGTGCCTCTGCGGGTGTCTTGCCAAGGTTCCATGGCTGCTTCTACCCGTCTCTAGTAAGGCCAGCAAGAAATGATTTGGCTGCATTTCTGACGCAGTCATCAAGCAGGGGCCAGCCTGGGTTGGCAACGCCTTCAGGCAATCCCAGGAAGAAGTGGGCATTTACCACTTGCCTCATCCCAGGAAGCTTGGGTCTGACTACAGGCAGCAAGTGAGAGAAAAGAGGACAAACTCACAGATACGTGGACACAGAAAAGCTAAGGTCAAGTGGGGTGTGTGTGCTCTGACACACCCACGACCACGATGACCTGGAGTGTTCACTGTGCGTAGGTGAGAAATCTCCAGCTGTAATCATCCAGGAAGGGGAGAAGCAGTTGCTGCTTTTGTATATACTGGGTGCTTACTCTCACCTGGACTGGGAGGAAGGCTTTTCCCATCCATCTGAGCCTCACCCAGGGAGGACTTTGCCACTCCTACCAGACTGAAGCGTTGAGGTCCCTGACATGGCTAAGCCCACATCAACAGTACACACTCAATACTTCACCCCCTCGGTTTCTTCCAGCTCCTACACCCACCCACTTCACAAACCTCAGTTTCATGGTCAAAGTAAACAGTGAGGTTCAAAGGGTTCAGAGAAATGTCCCAGCAAGATAGACTGTCTACTTTGTGTCTTTAAATACATGGCACCTCCATATTCCGAAGTCTTTACCCACTTATCTCTCCCCACCACCTCTTGATTTCTACTCGACATACCTTTCAAGTCCTTCTATCCCTAAGCAGCCTCCTCCACCATCTCTTCCCATTCCAATCTCTCTGCTTTATGCTTTGCACACTATGCACAGGAGCCTCCCATCATGTCACATCCTGACTCTAGCCCTAGGCTAGCATAGGGCTCCAAGACTTGAACTCAGAGTCTATTCATCATTCTTTCTGTGAACACAAATTGAGGACCTGTCCAGAACAGGCACTATGCTGGGTATGGGGCGTATCCAGAAGTCCTAGGGTGGGAAAAAAGGGACAAAGACCATCATCCAGGGGAAAAAATGGAACTGAAACAAGCATTATGAAGAGGACTGTGGGGTGGGGGAGGGCTGGCACGGTTTGGGGAATCAGGAAAGACATCTAGTCTGAATGTTTGACCTGGAGCCAAAGGTTTGAATAGACATTAACTCGTAGAAGTGGTGGATTCCAGAGAGAGCCACGTGTGCAAAGGCCTTGTGGTGAGAAGACAAAGAGAAAAACCATTGGACCAAAGCAGAACAAGGGGATTGGAGATGGGGCTACCAGTAACATGAGGCCAAGACAGTAGGTTCTAGAGGACCATGTTGGAAGTTGGTTTTAGTCTTGAGGCTCTGAGTGACCCTGGATGATGAGCCAGGGCCAAAGCAAAGGATGGTGAGCATACTTTCCAACTGTTTATTGTACCACAACTCAGAACCCTGCACACAGGTACCACTTTCTCTAATGCCCAGGCCCTGGCACAAGGCAGAGCATATTCGGGAACTTGAGCTTAGCAGTTGAGCTGACAATTCAAGAGATCAGGAGAACTTGGCTCCTCCTGAGTGCATCTAGGCAACACCTGGCCCTCCCTGTCTCTGATCCGTAAGCACTGGACCCATCATCTCCTGCCATCTCTTCTCCAACCTGGGCCATAGCCTGCCACAAAGAAGAGAATGGAGAAAACACAAACAAAATGGTCCCCAGAAATAGATGCTATCTCCATGAGTAAACTGGGGATGAGGGGTGGGCAATGGAGGGTAGAGGATAGGGGATGAGAGCGTAAGGGAATGGGATGGTTGAACTGGAACAGGGAGAGAGGGGGAAAGTAATGAAAGAGATACCATGATAGAGAGAGATATCATGGGGACAGAGAGAAACCTGGTGCTAGGGAAGTTGCCAGTAATCCCCAAGGATGACCCCAGCCTGGGCTACTAGCAATAGTGGAGAGGGTGCCTGAACTGAACTGGCTTGCCCCAGAGATCAGACAGGTGATATACCCTAACTGTCATCACAGAGCTTTTCTCCAATGACTGATGGAAGCACATGCAGAGATCCACAGCCAATCACTAGACAGAGCTCCAGGAGTCCAGTCAAAGAGAGAGAAGAGGGATTCTATGAGCAAGTGCATCAGGATTATGATGGGGAAACCTGCAGGGACAACCAAACCTAACTAGTGGGAACTCATGAAAGTTGGATCAATGGCTGTAGAGCCTACATGGGACTGGACTAGACCCTTTGCATGGTGAGACAGTTGTGTAGCTTGATCTGCTTGGGAGGCCCCCTGGCGGTAGGATCAGAATCCATTGCTGGTGCATGAGTGGACTTTGTGGAGCCCACTACCTATGATGGGACACCTCGTGCAACCTTGAGGCAGGGGGGAAGAGCTTGGACTTGCCTCTACTGAATGTGCCTTCACATGGGAAGCCTTGCCTTCTTGTGGGTGGGAGTGGGGGATGGGTTGGGAGGGGGAGGTTGGGGGGACGGGAGGAGGAAAAAGGGGGATCTTTGGTGTGTAAAATGAATGAAAAAAATTTCTTAATAAAAAAAAAAAGAAATACTGTACCAAGGATACAGACAATATCTATAAAGAAACCTTTTAATCCAATAAAGAATACTTTAAAATAATGAAATAAAAAAAAACAAAATGGCCCCACCAGGGTCCCAGGGGCTTCCCAAGCCTGCCATTGGCCTGTGCTCCCCAGCCCTCCTCCACCCTTCCCAGGTGGGACATTCCAGCTGTTTTCTTCCCTGGGAGCATCTTCCTATGCTCTCACTGGTTTTTCCTTATCCTCCTGCCAACACCTCACAGCCTGGAAATCCTTGCTGGCCAGCCTGGGAGCAGAGCCGTGTATCTCCTCTACCACGGTGCTGCTGTGCAGGTCCAGGAAACAGCCGCTCCCTCCTACATGTGCTCACTGTGATGTTTCACTGTCCACACCAGTGCAGACCCTGGTTAGGGGAGTGAAGGTGGTACCTGATCTCTCTCCCTAAGAGGTGGAGATGGTGACCTTGAGTTCATGGAGCAAGGGCTCACAACATCGTGCCTGGAGGGTTCCATCACACCCACCTGCACCTTCGGGAAGGGCTCGGCTATGCTCAAAGCCTGGGAAGGCTTCCTGTTGCCCAGGGAAGGAGGCATGTCATCCAGCACAAGCATCCCCCCACAGGGCCTTAGGAAAGGGATGTACTATGGCAGCAGGGCTATAGGGCAGTGGGTGTCTGGGAGCTAGGCAGAAAGGGAGCCCCGTCCACAACTGAACAGTAGAGTTGAAATTAATTGCATTTTGGTAGGTGACTGGAGGAAGAGGAGTTTGGGGCTTGTATCAGGCACAGCTCAGGGAACAGATCTGCCATTCAGTCACTATACACTAAGGATGGGTTCTATGCCAGGCCCATAGAGACTCGTGGGCTATGGGCAGATACACACAAGGACATTTGTGACGGAGGAGGAAGGCCATGGACCCAAGTTCTGGAGGGGGGGGCGTGTTAGGAGAGTGAGAAAAGAGGAGGAAGCAGGTCCCAGAACTGAGGGTTGGAAGCCTGAGGATTCTGTCCCTAAGGAGGAAGAAGATGGCTAGGTACTCTCCTGTCAGCCCTAACTCTAGGTCTAGGCCCACCTGAGTCTGGCTTGCCAGGGGGGTTTTCCTTGAAGGGATGGAAATGGCCTGGGGAAGGAACACTATCAGCCAGGACCCCTCTGAGTACTTGGCAACTGCCAGCTCAGGCCTGGCCTGCTGCGGGGGGTTAAAGAGCATGTTCTGACCACATAGACACTGTCTGAGATCAAGAATGAAAGAGGAAGGAGGAGGAGGAGGAGGAGGAAGAAGGGGAGGAGGAGGAGGAGGAGGAGGAGGAGGAGGAGGAGAGAAGAAGAGGAGGAGGAGGAGGAGGAGGAAGAGGAAGGAGAGACACAGAAACAGAGACAGAGAAAGAAAGGAAGAAAGAAGATGCGGAATGGAGAGAAAAACTGAGAAAGAAATGGAAAAAATGGGAAGTACC